CGCGGAGCGCAATAAGCTCTGGTGGCAGCGTCGACACCGGCAGCGCACCGAGAAACGCAGCGACGTCCTTGCCGTCCTTAATCGCCTCTAGAATAGCGTGCAGCACGACGCTCGGTAAGCTTGGTGGGCTGGGACGCTCGCAGATCCGCTTCGCTGCGTGGTGCTCGTCTACCATTCTTGGCCCGCGCTTTTCGGAGCTTTCTGTGACATATAATACCTGTGATAATGCATAAATGATGAAAAGGCATATTATACGTACGGGCCCTCGATCTCGTCGTGAATCGCCTTCCAGTGCTGTCATGTTGTTTTGTAGTAGTTGGTACACAAATGGAGCTTGGTAACGGCAGCGCATTACCTCGTCACTGCCAAAGACCGATACTCTTGCGATTTGCGTTTGAAAGGTCATGCGGCAGAGCTCATATTTGCTCACGTCGTGCTGCTGAGCATTTGCAGTACAGTGACGAACAGTGACGAGTTTGCCATTACACTGTGTAATGGCAAACTCGTCCAAAAGCAGACAATATTAGCAAAGACTATGCATGACCAGGATTGGACCAAGACTATCAAAACCATGGAACGCTTGGAAAACAGAGCTTTGTTAAAAAAACCTCGTTCGAGAGGTCTTGTACAGGGCATGTCACGGCGACGATGTGTGCGGAGGCGACTCGTAAATGCCCGACGCGCGGTACTGCAGGCGGTGCACACGTACAAGTTGTTGAATGTCATCCAGGGAATCGTATCCCCCGGTAACGTTACACGCGTGCCGCAAACGTAGCGTGACGTGGCGGCACGCACCCAGCGTCGTCAGCAGCAAAGACGCCGACGCCATTGTCAGTTGATTGGACGATACATCGACCATCAATGAGCGGAAGGTGCGCTTCGATGCGAGCGCGGTAGCAAGGAAGACAACGTCATCGTCCGTCAGTCCTATGCTGCACAGCGTCAGTGTCTCGAGACCCCGCACCATCCAGGCAGGGAGGGCCCGCGCCAACTCAGAGACACCATCCTTCCCGAGCTTCGAGTGATAAAACCTCACCGTGCGGAGGCAGCGCGACGTCGAGAGCCACTGAATGATCTTGGGCACGCTGGCCAAATCTTCAAACTCAACATCTTGCAGCGTGATGCTGGAGAGGTGCCGAGAGACGCCAGCGCTGGCAAACGAGGGAAGCATCCAGCCAGTGAGCCATACGGCTTCGAGCACAGGAGATGCAGCAAGGACGCTGAGCACATCGTCCAGCCGACATGGAATGTGATGGCTGTTCCGGAGGGTAAACGAGCGGACGGTAGCGACATCCAGCATCACAAGCGGGTCAATGCCATATTGACTGGCATCGTGCTCAATCGAGAGCGACGTGATAGACTGCGCCTTGTTTGGCTCCGCCGCCTTCAAGGCGTTGTGAAGGTGCGAGACGTGATCCAGTGTCAGCGAAGCCAGCGTTGGACAGGCTCGGATGGCGTTGGCGAGCGCCATCGGGTCGCACACAGGGCCCAAAAGCGAGAGAGACGACGCGGTTGGGCCTTGGAGCCAGCCCACAATGGCGGTGGCATCCAACACACCAGGCGAATAGGTGTGCACCTTGAGCGTGGACAAATGCTGGGTTGGTAGCTCCACCAAGTACGCCGCCACGATCTCCTTCGACTCATAGTTATCGATCGTCACCGACTCGACGTTCACGCAGAGTGCGAGGATGACGGCGATCGGACCGGGCAGCATCTGGTGGTCCTCGACAATGACGTTTGTGATGCGGTCGCCCCAGACGTAGGCAAATGCAAACATAGCGCCATAGACGACGGCGTCCACAGCCAGTGTCACGGGCATGCTGGGCGGCGGCGTCGCACCCAGCCACGCTAGCGCAGACAAGCGCGCATCCACGTAGACACCGGCAAAAGCTGGCAGCGCGGCAATGGCCAGGCGAGTGTACTCCAGCGGAATCTTGGCGATTTGCACGACCGGCCAGTGCTTGTTAAGGCTGACGGTGGCGCCGAAACCTCGGAGCGCGACGAGCTCGGGTGGCAGTGTCGACGGCGGCAATGCAGTGAGCAAGGCGGCAACGTCCTTCCCGCGCATCGCCCGAAGAATGACGTAGAGCGTGGCGCTTGGCAGGCGCAACAAGCCAGTGGCGTCGCGCGGACCGACATGGTTTTTCTTGCTGTCTTTTGTCATCCGTGACTGTCCACTTGTCGATCGTGCAGATTTGTGTTGAGATCACAAGTGCAAGCGGACGTTGGGAACAGTTGTGGCCCGGCAATTCTGCGGAAGTGAGATGGTTCTAGACCACCAGAACACAGGTTTTCAAAGTAATGCAGCCTTTCGTGTCCTCGCCCAACTCACGACGAGAGGTTTTGGGGTCAATAAAGCAGAAATCGGGCACGGTGCGGCGGATGAGTTGCCTGTGGGTCCAGCGCAGAAATGCGTTGCGCCTCACCAAATCACCAACCGACAAGGTGAGGTTGACGGCCGTCGAAGAGCTACCTCCCGCTCGACGCTCGTACTCGAAAGCTCGTTGTGTGGACGCTTGGAGGCAAATAAGAAAAGACTACAATAGCGGAATCAAGGAGCTCGATTTGCTGCTTACAAACAGATGGGGTGCCATGGCGATGAGGTGCGCGATGGCGACATATATATGCCGGGCGCAACGTACCGAAGCTTATGCGCTTGGATGAGGTCGTGGAGGATGTGGGAATCTTCGACACGCTGCTCGTAGCGAGCTCGATGCTTCCCATATGGATCATACTCGTCGTCTGGGTACGGGATATAGGCAATGTACTCGAGAGGACCGTTCAAATGCAACGTGACGTCGCGAGATGCCCCCAGCGTCGTCAGTAGCACCGGCGCCGATGCCATCGTGAGTTGGTTCCCCGTCAGGTGGATCGTCAGCGGGTTGCGGTTGCGGTTCGATGCAAGCGCAACCGCAAGGACGATCGCATTTTTATCCTTGAGTCCCGTGCCTTCAAGTTGGAGCGTCTGGAGGCCTCGAGCCATCCACGCGGGGAGCGCACGCGCGAGCTCCAAGACGCCATCACTGCCAAGCACGGTTCCCGTGAAATCTACGTCTGTGAGGCGGCGGGAGGTCGAGAGCCACCGGATGATTTGTCGGACGCTCGTCGGTTCACACGCCAATTGACGCAGCGTCGCGGTCACGAGCCGTGGGCACGCGCCAGTAGTTGTCGTCACTGCCGGCAGACTCCATTTCGTGAGCGTGACCGTCTCGAGCGCGGTGCACTCTCCAAGCGTGCTGAGAGCGTTGGCCACAACGAGCACATTCGCATGGGTATTTTCGAGTGCAAACGAGACGACCTTGGTCCGATCCAGATTCGCGAGGATCGGCATTCCGTGCTCTCCAGACGACGAGCGCAACGAGAGCACCGTGACGGCGTGGTCAAAAGTGCCACCGGCGGTCGCCAAGGCTGCTTGCACGTCCACGACGCCGTCCAGATGCAATGTCGAGAGCGTAGCGCACGCTCGGATTGCGCTGGCCAGCGCTGTCGGATCTGTCACAGAGGCGCAGGCGAGGTGGAGGGACGTCGCACGGGGTCCTTGGAGCCAGGCGACGATGGCGCCAGTCTCCAACGGACCCGTCCCGTTGGCAGTCACCTTGAGCGTGCGCAAGTGTTGCGTCGATAAGGCCGCAAGGTAGGCGGCTGCAGCAGCTTGTGTCGCGGCGCCCTCGATGCTCGCACTCTGCACGTTGACGCAGCGACCGAGCATGTCCGGGATCGGGTCGGGCGCGACCTTGTGGCCCTTGATAACGACAGCGGTGATGCCGTCGCCCCAGTTGTACGCAAACGTCGTGAGCGTGCCAGGCACGGAGGGGTCCACGACCAGCGTCACGGCCTTCTGGGGCGTTGCGTCGAGCCAATCGAGGGCTGTAAAGCCTGCGTCAATGTAGACACCGGCGAAAACTGGCAGCGCAGCGACACCGAGACGAGCGTACTGGATCGGAATCTTGGTGATGTGCACGACCGGCCAGTGGCAAGCGAGGTTTACGACAGCGCCGAGGTCGCGGAGCGCGATGAGCTCGGGCGGCAGCGTCAACGGCGGCAGGGCCGATAGAAAGGCAGTCACGCTCTTCCCGTCGCGAAGCGCTTCGAGAATGAGATAGACCACGACGCTTGGCAGGCTCGGCGAGCGCGTGGCAGCCTCGCGCGTACAGACCCGCTTGGTCTCCGCCGTCGCTGGCTGGCGATTCATTTCTGAGCGCGTCGACATTGCCCATCAAAACCTTCATCATAAATACCTCTCGCAATACATTACTTGGTACATTCGATACCAGTATGCGAGGTAAACGGAGCTCTCCTTGCAACTGGCGGTGCGCTGAAGCAGGGGCGATAAAAGCTATGTAAACGATGCATGGTCGAAAGGAACGTTGTCTGTGCATGGTCCAGCACGCACGATGAGTGCTTCATGGGATGACAGCCGCGTTTTGAAGATGGAGATATGTACTAACAAGCCGTGACTAGATGGACCCGATGCCAACGCAATGGGAAAGAGAAGAAAGGGACAACACCTACGGGGCTCGAACCCCGCACCTCCTGCATGTGAAGCAGGAATCCATGGACTGGACAAAAGGTGGTCGACTAAGTGCCACCTGCATCTCGACATGTTCGAGGTGTACTTGACACCATGTACACTTGACACCATGTACTAGAGAGGATCGCAGTGGATGAGATTACAAGCAGACGGGATGCCATGGCGAAGAGGTGCGCGACGGCGACATGTATGTACCGGGCGCAACGTACTGAAGCTGGTGCTCACTCAATAGGGCTCGGAGTGTTTCTGCCTGTTGAACGCGTTGCTGATCTCCATTGTACCCATACAACCCACGCGAGACGTGCTCCGAGTCGACAAAAATGCTGCCCAAGTGCAACGTGACATCGCAGCAGGCTGCCAGCGCCGTCAATAGCGCAGGTGCCGACGCGGCCGTCAGTTGATTGCCCGTCATCGCGATCGTCAGGGGTCGGCGGTTGCGGCCCGAAGCAAGCGCGACCGCTAGGACGATCGCATCCTTGTCATTGATCTGCGTCCCACGCAGCGTAAGCGTCTTGAGCCCAGTTGCCATCCAGAGAGGCAGCGCCCGCGCCAGCTCCACGACGCCTGCCCTCCCGAGCACGGTGCCATCCAAGTCGACCGACCGGAGATGGCGCGAGGTCGAGAGCCAGCGCATGATCGCAACGACATCTTGTGGGTTCTCGAACGTTGTCTGCTGGAACGTGGCCGATGTGAGCCAAAAACAGTCGCGGAGACGGGCCGAGAGGGCCGAGAGGTGCACATGCACCAGTGCGATGTTCTCGAGGACGGCGCACTTGCGTAGCGCGCCCATGGTTCCGGGCACCGCAAGCGCATGGCCCTCGGCTTTTTTGAGCGAGAAGTGGCCAACGTTGCCTGGATGGAGCTTGGCGAAGACGTCGACGTACTGGTCCGTCGATTGAACCAAGGTGAGTGTCCGGATGTGGTGCAAGTGGTTGGGTGACCGCACCAAGGCACCTTGGACGTCCATGGCGCCGTCGAGGCTCAAGGACCACATCGTCGCGCAGGCTTGGATCGCATGTGCGAGCGCCGTTGGGTCGTCCACCGTGTCGCACGTGATTGACAAGGAGACGGCCCTATGTCCGTGAAGCCATGCGACGATGCCAGACGTA